CCCCCCTGCCGAGGGCGGGTGGAAACGAGGTGATGGTAAAGAGCCCTTTGTCCAGGGGTGGACACACACACACACACACACGTCATTTGATATCACACGTCTCAATTCGGGTGGGGGAATCCATGGCAAAAGCCACCACCTCGTTCCGATTCCGCGGGAGATCCGCGAGCGACGCTTTCGCACGGAGCGAGGAGGAGCACCGCAACTGAGTCGCTTCCGCCACGGAATCGACAGAATCGAGTTGGTTGGAGCTCTCAGCGGGTTTCTCATATAGCTATATATATATATAGCTGGCAATTGATGGGTGACATCGGAAACGTCGGGTACATCATGGTGCATCCCCAAAGAAAAAAAACATGTTAAAGAGACCAAACTCGGTATAGAGTGTCTGCCAAGGGTTCATTCGCTGGCGGGCAAGGGTTCATGTCTTCGGAGGACTTTGGATGCTAATATCTGGATGCAAGTGATGTATGACCCGTTGTGTTTGGGCAGAACATGACCTTCGAGGGTTTTTGGATCTCAAAATCTGGAGGGGGGACCCAAAAACCATTCTAAAGAAAAACAGAACGCCGGGCTGGAACACATACGAAAACATCCTTTGACCTTTTGTATCCTTTTTTGCAGGTCATTCCAACAGTTGGACACGTTTGTAGCAATACGGAAAACGTGTTTCTGTCCATTTGGAAAGGATGTTTTTCCCTCCAGGTGGCTGCCACCCCAACGGAACGGCACGGTTTCTGGTCGAAAAGAGAGAAAGGAAGCCGAGAGAGATCCTCACATTAAATAACATGTATATATATATATATAGGCATGGGGCTGTTGGAGGGATGATTCACAAGGTCTCGATTATATATATTTTATACTTTAAGCTCCATATATTGGCTCCCGCGCTATATAGTCCGGTTCAAGTCGAGAAGCAATAGCAAGCCAAACCACCACACATCCAGTCTGAACTTGGCAGTCAGGAAAGTAAAGGCTTGCACCTCAGTTGACAGTGTAGACCCATGTTAACACCCCCAGAACCGTTGCTCCATCGCTATTGCAGCCCAAAACGTTCATGGCCAACATTGAAAGGCTTCAACTCCATACACGACTGTACACACAAATCCTTTTCCTCTGTATAATGAGGCATTAGACTCTTGGCTCATCACAAGTTGTTGATCTCTGCCAAGAACGAAAAAGGTGTCTGAAATCCATGTGGCAAAAACATTCTTTTTTTTTCCTGAGAACATCACAGGAAGTCAACGTTCCAATCGTTGTCCGATCGGTTCGGAGCGGGGGCGTCGGGTCGGGTTGGTCTGCACCCTCCAATCGTTGAGAAAACCAATCCACTACGCGACACTCTGTGCCTTATTTAGGTGGCTGAAACACTTGGAGGGAACCACTGTAAGCTGCAACCTGGACCAAGACCGACCGAAGACGGCTCCGGAGACCACCCTTCGGTGGAAGAATTGCCCCCAATCACAGGGTCCAGCGACTGACGGCGGAGACCGCGGACGATGGACATGGACTTGAAGTCGCCGGCGTTCTTTTTGGGGTCGCTTCGACGTGAAACGTTGAAGGGTCTCGTTTCGTGCCACCTTGAAGGGTCTTGATTTCGCCTGAAAGAAGAGTCGGGTTTCCTGTGAAGGTTGGGGCGGTTGAGTCTAAGTGAAATCGGTGCTTAATCCTGGTTTGGCCTGGATGGATTTCGTGGATGCTACCTCTCAAAATCACGGAATTTGGGGTTAGGCCTTCAAGAGAAGCATGTCTCCCTCACGTGGTTCATCGTATTTTTGTTGTTCGTCCCAGGTCCCGGACCGCGCCGCGCTGGCGTTGCGGCGTCAGTTGGGGCGATGAGAAACACCAGAGTCTATAGCTATGCCTAGCATTGCCTAGCTACACTGACAGTGGCAATGCGCGCCCTAAGAAGGGGCCGAGATCTCTTTTGTTCTTCTTCCTGTTTGGGGTGCACCTGCGCCGAAGAATTCGCCGTGGCACCCACGCGGAATGCTGCTCAGCACTCCACTGCGGGATCTTGATGACCGCAATGGTGCAGGTCACAAAAAAGCTGAGGGCGAAGACCTGAAGAAGCGGACGCAAACCTATCTACCCAATAGCAATGGCCCGCAACCCAATAGCAATGGCCTGCAACCTAATAGTAATGGCCTGCAACCAAATAGCGATGGCCACCAACCTAAGAGCGATGGCCTCCAATCTCATAGCAATGGCCCCGGACCTAAAAGAATGGCCTCCAACCTAGTAGCGATGGCCTCCAACCTAATAGCGATGGCCTCCAACCTAGTAGTGATGGCCTCCAACCTAATAGCGATGGCCTCCAACCTAATAGATGGCCTCCAACCTAATAGCGATGGCCTCCAACCTAAGAGCGATGGCCTCCAATCTCATAGCAATGGCCTCGGACCTAAAAGAATGGCCTCCAACCTAGTAGCGATGGCCTTCAACCTAATAGCGATGGCCTCCAACCTAGTAGTGATGGCCTCCAACCTAATAGCGATGGCCTCTCCAACCTAATAGAGATGGCCTCCAACCTAATAGCGAAGGCTTCCGACCTACCAGCAATGGCCTCCAACCCAATAGGGCCTCCACCTAATAGCCATGGCCTCCAACCTTATTATAGCAATGGCCTCGGACCCAATAGCAATGGCTCCAACCTAACAGCGATGGCCTCCAGCCTCACAGCAATGGCATCGGACCTAAAAGAATGGCCTCCAACCTAGTAGCGATGGCCTCCAACCTACCAGCAATGGCCTCCAACCTCACAATGGCCTCGGACCTAATAGCAATGGCCTCCAACCTACCAGCAATGGCCTCCAACCTCACAATGGCCTCGGACCTAATAGCAATGGCCTCCAACCTAATAGCGATGGCCTCCAACCTAATAGAGATGGCCTCCAACCTAGGCTTCCTACCTACCAGCAATGGCCTCCAACCTCATACCATAGCGATGCCTCCAACCTAATAGCGTTGGCCTCCAACCTACTAGCCACGGCCTCCAGCATTTCTTGATATTTCTTGACACACGATGGACCTAATAGCGATGGCCTCCAACCTCATAGCGATGGCCACCAACCTGATAGCATTGGCCTCCAACCTAATAGAGATGGACTCCAACCCAATAGCGAAGGCTTCCAACCTACCAGCAATGGCCTCCAACCTAATAGCGAAGGCTTCCTACCTACCAGCAATGGCCTCGGACCTAATAGCAATGACTCCAACCTAATAGCGATGGCCTCCAACCTACTAGCCATGGCCTCCAGCATTTCTTGATACTTCTTGACACACGGTGGACCTACTGTAATAGCGATGGCCTCCAACCCAATAGCGATGACCCCTCCAGCATTTCTTGATATTTCTTGACACACGATGGATTAATAGCTATGGCCTCCAACCTCATAGCATTGGCCTCAAACCTACACCCTTTATGGTGCTTGCTTCCTTTTAGAATTGGGGGATCTTTTTCCGTCTCGCGAATTGGGGGGCCTTGTAGGTGTTCTTGCAATGATTCAGTGTAGTATCTGTTGGCTTTTGGACTTTCATCTACTGCAGAACGATGGTAGATGTTTCATGATTTTTCTGCCCATGTCTGTGTTTCATTCGCAATCCCCCATTTTCTCCGCGTTCCCCTCAAGCGCAAACCTGTGCCCACAGGCTGAACAGCTGTTTCCTGGGGGTGACGAAACCTCAGAATTGTTGTGCCAGGCCACCATCAGTACCTTGGCTAGTCAAGGTAGCTGGCAGGATTGAAGGGAAAGGGCCTTAGAACTAAAGATTGTAGTTTGTGGTGTCGGCAAGCAGGCACCTCCAAACACAAGCGGAAGAACACGAAGAGGGCAAGAACGCCAACATTGCAGCGCACAAGGGAATGACACATTTCATTACGCGCTTAACACACGCACTCGCAACTGGGGAGCGTTTTTGAGGCATCAGATCATTGATCTTTCGATGAAACAGCATGATCTCGAGAAGGAACCCGAAAGGCAAGTAAGATGATTACCATCTCTCTTGCTTTTCTTGCTTTCTCTCTCTCTCTCGTGCTACAGACAGGAGGTCCAACATCTTCATGATTAGATCATCGATATCACGGACATTGTGGTGATAAATCTCATTCTCTCCTGGTACAGTAGCGGATTGGTCGAAAATAGTCTCCCCCGATTCTCCACAGATTCTCTTCATGTGAATTCCCAAGGACCTTTTTCTAGAATATGATAGAATATCATAGAATCAATTTCGAGCCACCTACGAGGAAGAATATGATCGACGGTGTCGACTTGACTCGTGGATGGTTGAATTCCTATATTTTTGAATGTTTCTGAGCTGTGAATTCTCAGTTTAATTGCAGGATTGAATCAATTTGAATCAAACAGTTTCTGAACCAAAGTTGCTGCATCGTACTTAGTCTCTGAATTGTTGGGACCTAAACATGCCGTACGCAGCCGGCCCACCTGGCCCACTACGCTGCCAAGAGACCATTCCAACAGCCACCATGATGATCTGCTCATGGTCTCCGCAGAAGGTGCCGGTATACTTCACCAGGCTCGACTTGCCATTGGGATGGTGGTAGCACATGAGCGGTTGTAAGGACACAGCGCTCAAAGTGGCAAATCCCACCGTCAGCAAAGCACCAATGGTGTTGAAGGTCTTGTAAAGCTTCCAGGGTTTAACCTTGGAACGTCTACACATAAAAATTGGATGTTCATGACCCCTGGACACCTGCTGCGCGCCACTTCGCAGAACACGACCTGGGATCTGTCTCTTCCTCCCCACACGATCTGAATTCGTTGGATCGGAGTGGGATTCGTTGGACATCGTGAGCTGCTCAAGGCTCAGAAAGGGTGCCAGGAAAATCGCGTTTCGATCAGCTTCTCCAGCCTAGCAAGCTTGGCCCCAGCTTGGCCCCCAAAAAGGCTCCCAGCTTAAGAAAAACACTCCGAGGTCCAGCTTAGGCACTCCCAACTTCAGTCTCTCTGGCCAGAATGTCGGACAGCTGTAGCAACTCTCCAGTGGTTTCAGCAGTGGTGATGCCAACCAGCGGGAAAGCAAGAAGATCGAAGCAAGTGGGAAGACTAATCCACTGGCAAGAAAGCGCATGAAATTGCTCTTGCCGGTGAGGCAGCCTTAGCTTGGACGGAAGGCTCCTTGGACGACCGGTACCACCATGATTGACAACAAATCCAAAGGGAAACACCTGACTATGGCTTTGGAGACTGTGCAATTGGGTGGGGGGGCACAGCCCAAGGCAAGCGCTTCAAAGAACAATGTGAACACCCAAATGGGTCGTGCTTGGCAAAATAGAGTGCGTCCTGCTTGACAACCCGTTCATCAGACTTCAGGGCTCGCCTGTACGACGGAGTCCAACAGTGACTCAGAGGCTCACAGCAGATTTCGATTTGCAAAGAAAATCTAGCTGACATGAGTTCCTGGCAACTGCTACTTGAGGTTTGACTTTCTGAGTTATTTGGGGATCCGTCATTCCTGCTTGCCAAGTATTTCCTACTTGCTCACCTGCTCGCCCTTGCCATCAACGACACCCTGCGGAGTTCACATAACTGTCAATAGCACTATGACAACGTTCAATCCCTTCACTTCGATGATTGCACTGTTGTGTTCTCCATTATCTCATATTTTTAACCAAAGATCCAAGAAACAACAGCCGCGTCCTGCGACCGTCCAAACGATCGTTCGCGACGATCCGCCACGCCACCGAGGCCCAACTGATCCACATCCAACAGGACCACACGTAAGGACTGGCTGGTGACGCTCACAGAGGGTGACCATCGCACAGACATCAGTCCGAAGATGGCCATGTTCTGAACCTCCCAAAGTCCGGACAGACGACTTGACGGACGAACGAGGGTGTTCAGCTTGTTTCAGGCGAGGTTTCAGGTCTGTTTTTAGAGAAACAGACCAAACGGTTCAAGTTTTGCGGGAGAAGCCTCATTTGGTAGGTGCCTGAGCCCTTCAAACTCTTCCACCATCAACTACTCATGTAGACTTATTATGTATAGATGATTACAGAAAGTTCGTCTACAGCCGCCCTCAAAGGTCAAAAGGAACATCCATCGACGCAACTCGGTTGAGCTGACGGTCATCGTGCAAAGGACGCAGCGCTAGTCACGACCAAGAACCACGTTGATGCCAATGCCAGCTGCGAATGTGCATGCCTGACAGGTAGTGACCAGCTGCGTTGTACTTACTTGTAGGTTGCAACATAGACCCTGAACACTACCTCCAGACTCTGATGAGAACGATCGAGTCCGTCTACACATGATCCTGGTACAGGTCATGGTCTTGATTCATCGCTGATCACCAGGGAACCCGAGCTCGTGGCCGCGAAGGCATTCGAAGGGATAAAACAGATTTAACTTTATAGAGAGTTCAAGCATTTATATAGTGCGAATAGGCACAATTACAACTATAGCAGTGAATAGAACAATAGAGGTCTCAAACTTATAGCAACCCCAGCAAAAGTTTATTCAAGTTTCAGGTGTTGGATTCTTTCCCCACCGCGCCCGTTTTGGCGCGGCGGCGAGGCCCAAGCGGTACAGCGGTTGAGGCTTGAGCCTGAAAAGATGAGGCTTCTGCTCTACTCGTTGACTCTACAAAGTCGTAGGCTTTCAGCAGGACCAGCAGCAAAAGGATGAGAATCACTGCCTGAAGGCCCATGCTGCAAAGGACTCTACAAACTATGCAAAAAACAGCCGTCAAAACAGGTGACAAATATAGAACAATTCATATTGATAAATCAACCCAAGTGGCCCATACAAGAGGTGCTTCGTCTTGGCACTCTGTACATCCTTGGCCATTCCAGTTTTGCCCTGCATCACACATGGCGCACGGGATGCCCATGAGACCTCCGGCACATTCTCCCGGTCCACCACCGGGGCAGTGCTCTGAAGGCTCACCTCATCGTATCACGGCCCTCTGAACCACGCGATGGACCTGTGAGGCGATGGACCTAAGAGCGGCCTCCAACCTAAGAGCGGTGGCCTCCAAAGGCTGGAGGCTCCCTCCCTCTTGGCCGAGAAGCATTTATAAAGGCTCAAGGGCTCTGCGGGCTCGGAATAGTAGCCTTCCATGACCTGCAAACAGAGGTGAGACTTGCAGCACCCAACCCGCGAGAGTTGGGGCCAAACCTCGCCGTCACGAGGTTCGAACGTCCAAAGATTCCAACGGTTTACCGGTTTACCATGGCTTTCGGTGGAACTGTGAGCTTTTGTATCAACCGCGCTCATCGTCCCCAAGCATCACATTGTTAACCGGAAGATAGACGTACTAGCGATGGCCTCCAATCGAAAGATCCAGGAAAAGCTAGGCTTCTAGGCTTCTTGGCTCATCGTTCTCCAAAGCAAAAACCCTCACCTTCGGCGACGCCCCGGTTTCTGCAGCTGGGACCCTGGGACCTGCGGCGGATGTTGAGCTTGTGGGTCAGCCACTTGATGTTGCAAACTGGGCAAGCTCGAGGCAAAGGGGCAGTGGAGGCCCTTGGGGCAAGGCTGGCACAGGAAGCCACCTGGAGCGAGCAGAAAGAAGGCTTGGCTTGGCCAGATGTTGGACGGGGTTTGGCTTAGTTATGCAATGTGTGAAATTAGGCAATATGTCTTCCTGCAAATCATTGGTCTATGTTAGTGATAGTGCAGGGCCCAGAAACCATTGGGGATGTCAAAGCCCCCCAACCATCAACGATGCTTTTGGGTGTACCTTTGCTACATTGACAAACACTAAGCCATCACAAGGAAAGACCAAGCACCACGAATATACCAGTTGCGAAGATTCCTGCATTGAGGGTGTTTGAAGTCAGCAGGCTAAGGTTGGAATCGCCCACTGCTCTGGGCCAGTTAAGCGCATAGCTATGTGATGTCACAGCGAGACTCAGGAAGACGCATCTCAAGATTGAATGGTTTTCAATTCCAGTGCTGTTCATGAGACAACACGTGCTAGCTGCGAACGACCCTGCAAAAAAATGCTGAGACTTTTCGAGAAGCATTCCACCGCGTGGCGTTTCTCTTCAATGATCCCTATGACTTTCAGAGCACGATCCACCTACCATGTTGACTCTGCCGGACTCTGCCTCGTTCCGCCATGTTGATGGTCGTCGCCAGACAGCCGCAATCGTGAATAGACCTCGAACCCATCCTCGGTGAATCTCCGCAGCTTTGGCCACTCTGAAGCTCAAAGGATCTCAAACACCAGTTTCACGCATCGCTCGTTCGGTCGACTCGTTCCCACCAGTGGTCAGACCTGGTCGGACCTGGACACTCATGTTGCTGAAGCTTCCAATTCCCTGAGTTCGAAACGCACTTTCTTCGGCTCCGAAATGTCAACGTGATGTGTTGACCTAACTCAAGGGCAACTCGTTTCTCGAACATGCTGCTGCTGCTGCTGCTGCACCCACTCCGAAGCTCCAACCCAACCCGACATTGGGATGAATAATCCCATAAACTTCCAAAAAGGTGACAACCATCATCAAACCCAAATGGGTGGGGGGGTGCTAGCCATAGAGGATATGGGCATGGGCGGCATGGGTATGTGAAAACCATCATCAAGCAATCTCCACATCGCCCCCGCAGAATCAACGGCTGATTCATGCCTTCTCCACCAAGAAACCCACCTGTCGTCGTTTGAACTGGGCATTGCTTGCACCCGCTTTGGCCACTGATGTCTTGGTATTCTCCAAAGCCACACCTGCACAAGTCAAGTGTTTCTTTCCACCTTAGAACTCTCCTTTTCATCCGTTTTCCCTTGCTTCGCCGGGTGGCATCTCAACGCTGAAAACACCATGAACGTGTCACCAACCTTTGAACCAAAACACCCGAACGGTTTCCAACTGTTTTGAAACAGGTGAAACCTTGCCATGTTTCCCATTAATTGGTACAGATCCAGTGGCGCCTTTTGCAGGACTTGCTGCCGGTTTCATCCTGATATTCGCCAGTTCCACAGGGATCGCAAGCGATGGACGCTCCAAAGACCTGCCGTGCCAAGATCCCGCCGCGAGGTCCCGCCGCGGGCACGACCGTACATCCTGACCTGACCGGCGACCATGGAATTAACAGGCGACCGGTCATAGTACATAGTCTTGATATAGTTATATAATGAATGGTACATGGATTGGATGGGATGGGACAGTTGTACATTGGGAAAAGACAGTTGGATTGGCATGGATTGGCATGGATTGGTCGATTTCTGATCCGCACATCGACACGGTCAATGTAACGACCCAGAAATCGAATGCTCCATGTGCTTCTTCGTCCTTGGAAACCGGGACAACAAAAGCACCCAAGTCAAACCAGGTTGGAGGCCATCGCTCTTAGGTTGGAGGCCATGAGTCTAGTAGGTTGGAGGCCATCGCCATTAGGTTGGAGGTCTCCTGCTGCTGTGAATGAAATCTTATATGGACCAGACAGGACAGTGCAGTGCATCCAGTGCATCCACGGAACTAGCTCACAACCTAGCGCGTGTGGAGCCCCCAGTTTCAAGCCATTGCAGCAAATTCTTGTTTGGCACAGCCAAATCATCCGAAAGACCCTTCACCCATGTGCAGTTTTTGGAAACACCCTTCACCCGTGTGCACTGAACTCGGCGACCTGATAAGTGCCGACATCGCATTCTTGACAAATGAAGGTGCTGCCATCATGGTCCTGACCGCTGATGGTGCCGGACAAAGAGGCCGCCGTCTGAACCAGGTTGACAAACGGAGTGCCCCCCCAACATCCTGGTCCTAGTCTTGCTTTCCAAGACCTCAATCCATTTAGGCGTCCATGCTATTAGGAACAAGAAGCTACGTTCGGGGCTCCTGTCCTTACTACTAGGAGCGATCGGATGCTATTCGTGTCTGGATCCTAAGTGACAATCCTCTGTTGGAAAGTGCTTTTTTTCGCGTCTTCGCTGCAACGGAAGTTCGGCGCGAAGAGGTTGCGTGGACATACTCCAGAGTACAGGAGCCCTGCACCACAGCAGACTGCACACAGGATCTAGGTTTGCCCCCCCTACCATTTCAGAACTTCGTTGGCCTTTTGACTAAAGGGGCTACACACATCTACACACCTTCCAAGTTCTTGCATCTCGGTCACTTCGAAAAGACTCGAACGTCAGAGACACACCTGCACCCCTCTGGACCTTCCTAGACGAGGGTGTCCTGGCTGGCTCGTCCGTACCTAGGGAAATCCAGCCAGGTGACCCCCGCTTTTTTCGGAAGGTACTGAGGCTGGCTTGTCAAACACGCCGCTCAGCAGCGTCAAATTGATGCAGTTTTTAAGCCTGCGTTTCAATCAATTCTAGACTCCACCCTACATGTGGATGCTAGTTGGGGGTGTATCAAGGTTGGTCTGAGAAAGAGAATTCCCAGCTGGTTTTTCATCCCCTTGCCTTCTCGAGACAAAGGTTTGCATCAAAGGGACACCAATGACATGGGGGCATGAATGGAATTTCATGCTCCCCTGAGGAGTGGCATCAGTCATGAGTGATCAACCTCAATCAACTAACCTAACCTTTTTCGGTTTCGCCTCTTTGCACAGCCTACTGAAAAACCAACTCACTAGCAGTGTCTTTTTATAGCCGAACAAAAAACCTGTCTAGTCTGAACTTCTATGGACCATGTAGCGATAGATCCATCGAACCACGGAAGAAAAAAGGAGTGGTCCTCCAAGGGTAGTGAGAAGAAACCCGGTCGGCAAGGCTGACAGCTCAAATCGGTCTCGGAGGCGCGGCTCTTTACAAAGATTTCCTCAGGTTCACGCTGAGACTTTTCTCACCGTGTAACATTGCAAATTCATATGTCATGCAGGTACCAGTTCTGACTTTTCATTATCGGCGGCGGCATGTGACGTACATGTTGTTTTTCTTAGGATTACTATTTATGGGATTCAGGTGTGGCGAAACTGCTTTCGAAGTCTTTTTTGGGGGGAGACAGCTGCGGGTTTTCATTGGGAGTGATGGTGGGTCAACCCGTGCCAACGGATCTATGATGGTTTTCACCATTCAAACCTCTTCAGGCGGCTTGGTGGGTTGAAATTATGTTGACATATATATATATATATCAAGCCCTACAGGTCCAAACCCAGTAAAACCGGGTCCTTTGCCTCCTTGAGTAGTGATTTTGATTTTGTATGATCAACTTCAATAAAGTGATGTCTTTGACCTGTAGGGAAGAGTCTACATTACTAGCATCAAATCGTGGTAGATGGCGGACGGTCGAAGAAACGGAGCGAGCAATTTCGTGGCCTGAACTGGAACGGACAACTGGAGCCAATGAACCCGGAAAAGAGATTGAACCGTAACTGATCCTGGATTAGCAGCTGACAGCATGACTAGATTCTTTTTGGTACGGTTTGGTGAGAGTGCGAGAGCGGGTCACTTCGACCATCTCCGAAAAATCGCGTCCGTGACATAGTCCGTCGCTCGGGCAGCTCGGGGGATGCTTCTCCAAGCATCTTCCTTGTCGCTGAAGAGCCCATAGCGCGGGAAGCACTTGGTCTTGTCTGGAAGCCACTTCAGCCACCGGTCCTCATTGGCCTTCAGCCATCGGCATGCAGCGGCAAAGAAGGACTCCTTTGACTCAAGTTGGTCCAACCTTGAGTCGACCAGCCACGGTGAAGAAACTTGACATCTGGTTAAGATCTTCAATTCTTGGAGCAACCGACCTTATGAAGAAGCCTTACTTATAAATCGTTTTAACAGATACGTAGCAGCCGCCCAGTGTCGGCCGTGTTTCTTGTGACTGGGGTGTGGACTTCCCTTCCCTCATCTGAAGGAGTTGGACCTTGACTCCTGACATGTACAGACTGCAGTAGGACTCTGTCCGTGCGTCTGTCCAGACTGGGCCGCGGGTTCCGCGGCAGGCTGTCCTGGTTGTTGGCAATTGGGACTGGACATGTGGAGGATTTCAATCTTTTTGGCCGTTAGGACATGGAACTTGTTCCCACTCTTTCACAGTTGACGATTGGAGGACTCTGACTGGAGCAAAGGATGGCAAGCTGAGCCCGGGTTCTTTCTCTGTAGGAAGAGGCACATGATTTCATCTACATCTTGCATCTCCACCAAGTAGGAAGACATGAACTCTTCAATCTCCGGAGCCAGTACGTGCAAGTCCTGGAGAAAAAGGCCGCGGAGAAGAACAAAACGATGCCCAGTGGAAGCAAACATTGATAGAGCCTGATCTGTACCGTCCGGAAGCTTGGCCTCACCGGCCAGAATTTCTGACCTCATGAGTGATTCGGAGGGCAACCTTCGGAACAACGAGGAGCGACTAGGATCTGGTCATTTTCTTCCGGTCCTCTAGTGCAGTCACTGCTTTCACCTTTTCACCACCATTTCACCTTTGCGATGCTCACAGGATGACACCGTCGCGATTTAAAACCCCCTCCCTTCCTGACTCACGTACTTGTCGATGGAAATTGCAGCTGCAGCTGTTCGCTGGATCCCACTCTCATATTCTCGGCGATTGTAGGGTGGGAAAATGATAGGCATCGCCTTCAACCTCTCCGAGTGGTGTCTACACGTCAGTTTCTGACCACGATGACAGAGAGGCAGCAATTCAGCCAAACGGACATGTTCATGTCCGCTTCTTAGAACAGGGTAGCTATAATAGTTTCTCATCCATTCTCTCTCTCGTTGAATGTTTCTCACACCCTGAGTCCTCAAGAACGTCGGGTCTGGCGTCCACCAGTAAAACATCGTCGTGTACTCCATCGGCAGGGACGTGAAGCTTCCCCAAGTGCTTCCCACCGCCCACACCAAAGGCATGCTATGGAAGGTTGCCTGGGGTGAAGACGGCAATCAACACAGCTCAAAGAGTCCCTCTATTTAATTTGCCAAAGCAACCTTGACACACACGCACACAAGAACGGCGCACAAAGACCACCGCGGCCTGCTGCAAATGTGCGAGAACGCTCCACCCGGAACCGCCACTGATCATGGCAATACAACTGGAAGCATTGCTTCGACACGTGGGGGCACGCCAGAAGTAGCCGTCGAAGCATCGGCCGATGACTGTTCCATCACCTGCAGGCGCTTTTCCTGACCAAGAGAGGCCTAGGTATCTAGTAGGGTATTCAAAGCGAAAGAAATGGCCTCCAACCTACTTGCGGCCGCCAGTGAGCATAGCGTCCGAACGCTACTAGCAAAGATCTGTTTGATCATCTAAATGAAAATTGAAGGTTTGACACCCTTTCAACTGCACCGTTTTCGAAGCCTAGTTCATCACCACATTCATCACCACAAATCATGTTCAGTCCAAATCCCTGATTTGGTCCACTAGCGTCTAAGACAAAAATCTTCAATCTCAACAAGCAAACGTGTTTTTTCGTTTTTCCCATGCTTTCAGGAGGTCGGGCCTTTCTAAATCAACCGCTGGCCTTGAACGATGACACCCTCGTGATCGCCCGTCACTTTGAGGTACGCGGCCATCTGTCCCACATGCATCCTCAGACCGGCCACTTTGGGAGCCAATGTCAACAAACTTCTCTTGCACTTAAGGTAGCCTAAGAAAAGAACATGCAATCCAAAAGTGATTGACTTAAGTCTGAACACTTAATCAGTAGTGGATCACTTAAGTCTGAACATACAAATCCCAAAGGGCAAAAACACTGATCATCACGGCTACGGCTGAGCGTCAAAGAGGTCTTCTCGCAGGGCAGCAACTTCGACACGTTAATGTCTTGCCTCAAGTGGCAAAAGAAGAAACGCACAGAGTCGAAGGCTTGAAACCACTATAGTGACTATAATGCTATATGTGAACCCTTCGTCTTTCCTGAGAAAAGGGCGGCTTGCTCTTCCTCAACTCCTTGAGATACCCTAGAGGGTGAACCGGAAAACAACAACGGGTACACGTCCCAGATCCTTCCAACGTCCTGAATTCATGCGCAGGCTGCGGTCGGGTGAAGTATCGCCCCGGATCCTCCCACGAGACGTTGTAGTCCTGACGACGTGATGGAGCGACCCCTCAGGGTTTGGACGCAGCGCCCCGTGTTGAAACACGGTTTCCCAGGTGAAACACGGGCGGTTGCTGCCGCAAGCTTCCTGGGGTAGTGGTGTAAATCAGCTGTAGGTCTACAGATGTAGATTGGGAATCTCTATATCATTATGTATTCCCTTCCATTTGGATTGTAAACCTCTTCATATGATATGATGGGTTTCATTACACATCCACCAGATTCCAACAGTCTACATTGCGCTTCTGGTTCGAAGGCCATCATCACCGTCTTGGATGATACATTATCTTTTTCCTGGCGCCGGCGCCGCCCAGCGATCTTTCAACGAAAGTACTCCACGAAAAAAACCGTTTGACGTTTAAATTCTTTGAAGCGCTACGATGCTTGCCTGGTGCATCCATTGGACACCATGGACACCCCGGCCAAATAGCTATGACTCTGCTTTAATGGGCTTGATGATGCCTCCAACCTCATAGCGATGGCCTCCAACCTATTCCAACCTAATAGCGACGGCCTCCAACCTAATAGAGATGGCCTCCAACCTAAGAGCGATGGCCTCCAACCTAAGAGTGACGGCCTCCAACCTAGGAGCGATGGCCTCCAACCCAAGAGTGATTCCCTCCAACCTCCCAGGAGCGATGGCCTCTAACCTAAGAGCGATGGCCTCCAACCTGAAAGCGATGGCCTCCAACTTAGGAGTGCGAAGCATATGACCCCAAAAAGAAGGGAATCCTAGGGGGCCCATATACCTCAAAGATCAAACATAGGAACAAAACGTGGATCCATCTCCCACCCTCCAAGACGCGTCGAATGCATGGAACCTGACATCAGGATGGAAATCAAGTTTACCTAGGTGGTTATCAACACTCACCTGGTTCACTGGTGGTGAATTATCTCGACATGGAACACAGTCCTTAGGGTTACATATTTCCACACCCCCTTTCGAGATAATTCTAGTGCTCTGCGCTTAGACATCTTAGGTGTGCACAGTCGAGGAGGCGGTCTTCCAACCTGCCGTGAAAGCGTGCAAAGGAAAAAACGAATGCTCTGCATTTGCGGGAAATGCGAACAACCAATTCGATGAGAAGTCGAAAAAATCACAATTTTCCTCTTCTTCGACCGAGTGCTGTGGGAGCTCGACTCAACCACAAAAAGACACGTTCATCAGCTTCCGAAAGCATTTACCGGTGCGTGGAACACAAAAAGGACATGGGGTCTTATACTATACTCCAGCAAAGTTTGGAATCATCGTGCACCGGGTCTTGGTCGAATGAAGTACCCCTTCAATGGCTGCCAAATGCTCCCTCTTCGGCCGTGTGCTCGGGAAGCAAAGGTGGCACATGTTCCACATGGTGGCATCCTTGAGGCGGTAGCGAATCACCTGGCAGTCGCCAAGATGGAAGGCTTTTCCAGACTTCGTTGTGAAGTAATCTCGTACTTGATCCACCACGGGTGGCTCTGGAACAGAAGCATCAGTGATCTGAGCAGGAACATCATTTGGAGGAGCTTGATCTCTTGTGTCGTGTGAGGAGCTTGAACCAGCAACAAAAGCAGGATCTTCAGCTTCACGCACATCAGAGGTCGCTCCCGACTTTCCTTTCCTCAAGCGCTTTGCTAAATGCATGCGCTTCTTTGCGCTCATTGGAACATGCAAGCTCTCCTCTGCGACTTCATCATCAAAGGAGGAACCAGCAGATTCCGAGGACTTGCGCTGTCGCTTCGGCATCATGTAACAGCATGCGGCCAAAAACAGGAAGCATTGCATCACAAACATGGCGAGGACAATCAGTTCAAGCATCTGTTCACGAGATATTTCGCTTTGAGCAAAAGATCTACCAATTATAAGGTCGCTCCAAAGCTGCTGGCATGCTCAAACTCGATTGGAAACCCTTGCAGCTTACCGACGGTGTACAAAATAGCTGGTGGTTCCCAAGTTGGATGGTACATTACGTACCCGGATCCCGCCTTCGGCGTGTATGTCTTCTGATGGATCGATCGAATGGCCTCCATAAGGACATTGACCAACAATTCTGGATATCTTCCAGTCTTACGCCATTGTGACGCATTGAAGCTCTCATGCGAAGAATGCTCACATTCAGTGAAAGGGTGCAAACATTGAATGGCACCTGGATGCGTGCTGATGAACAAAAAGCTCTTCGCCACACGGTGTCCTCCACAAGCACATAACTTCGGAATATTGCAAAAGATGGGGACACCACAGTGTGTGATAAAATCCTTCAAGACTTCGTCTTCCAATACGTGTTTACAAACTACAAGCGGTTTACATTGCGCAAGCAGTGTGAAAAACTTCTCAACATGTTCACTCTTCAAAGCCTCATTGTCCGAGAGGTTTTGTAAAGAGCTTCCTCCTGTGCACGGCAAAGAAATATGAATGTATGAGAACCTATTTGGTACTCTGTGATGCGCACTCAACATGCGAATGATCTGATCTTGGAATTCCTCCAATGGCGAAGATTCGGTGCAATGCACGATCAAAGCTCCATAGGGGCAACACTTGCCAAATTGCTGTTTGGATAGCCACAGATTTCAAAAATCAAGATCTCATAGCTTGATACCACGTCTACGAGACTAGAAGCTTCAATGATGGCACTCTCAGTCAACGACAGGACGGAACCATTGGTTCGGTCCTCGCTCTCAGCGACACAAGTGGTCTCGATTTCAGCAGCGAAGATAATTTGCTGGTATTCTTTCGATTGGATGAGGTTGCCACTGCTGTTCCGTGAGCTGCTGGGTCTGTTCATCTTCCTCCAAAAATCCCATGGAAACTCTAAATTGGTTAAACAACTTGACCCCCAAGGTGTTTGTTAAGATATCGGCCACTTGCCATTTGCCATCAACCCAAACAAGTCTTACACGTCCACGTTTCACTAAGTCTTGACAAAAACAAATACGACGTTCCACGTGATGAGATCGCTTCTGCAGTCCAGAGGCTTGCAGGACTCGAGTGGCGGCTTGTGAGTCAGTCCTGATTTAGACAGGAATTACCGTATCATCCTTGTTGATACCAAACAAACGGATGAACAATTTGTTGAAAGTGACAGCTGAACACATAGAATCAATCAGGCCTTCAACGTGAGCTTGCGTACTGAGATGTTCGGCCAGTCGGTTTAAGCCTCAGATTCTTGAACACATTCGGCAATTGCTGAGAGTTCAGCTTCACATGAGCTGGTAGCTACAATGCTCTGGATTCGGCTGAACGCTTTAACCAAACTACCTTTGTAGAATTTTGCCATGCCTGAAATCGACCTTCTCTTCAGACTCCAAAGTGGAGCCCAGGAAGCGTCACTGTAAATCACGATCCTGCTCCCTGAGTTCATATTGTCATCACTGAGTTGGAATTCAGGCGCAGGGAAATGCTGGACAAAACTTCGATGACTATGCAGCCAACGCAAAAGAGATCGGAGCGCTTGCTCGTGCTTCACTAGTGGCTCAGACATACCTGTAACCAAAAGAGAGTAGTAGATATATAGGTGCAAAAACGTTTGGGTCATCCAGCCTAATTTCCCCAATGCAGCGCGAAATCGGGTCACGGCCTCAGCCGTTAGCGGCTCGTTCTTTTCAGGCTTCTCTTCATCAAGGATTGGACGCAGATCGGGTGGTGCATCACTACCTCTACAAATTTTGAAAGCCTCGAACGTCGAATCTAAATCATTGGGATCCAATCTCACGGTAAGCCTACTTTGTTTCGGTTTACGTTCGATGGTCCTTCCTAGAAATCTGAGGGATCCACCTCCGGCTTTGCTTGTTTTGATCATTCCAGTCTTCTTGACCTTGAGTGATTTAGACAAACACTCAAAAACAAACATGGCTGCCTCTTCAGAGCGGGCAAAGACAAGAAGATCATCAACATATGCAATGACAAGAATCCATTCCGGTTTCTGACCCTTTCGAATGGTGACTTCCCCTGCAAAAATTGTTGACTCCAACGGCGATGGGGAAATGTTGAAAGACTGGAGAAGGTTGGCCAAGTGCTCGACCCATGCGAGACCGCTGGATCGAAGACCATTGATGGCCTTGTAGGCCTCCATGAAGACAGGACTGCCGTCTGGAAAGGTGATGTTTGTTGGCATTCTGAGGATCACTTTGATAGGTTTGCCTAGCTTTTGACCTAATGGTGACGCCATGAATGCTGCTGACGCGTCTAGTCCAAGAATGACCAAATCATTTGCGGCGGCCTCCGAGAGCATCAATCGAAGTGACTTGATCGAAGATGTTGGGCTTGAGACCATGAGGTCCCTGGCCGAAAGCTGTCCCTTGGCAATCTCCCTTGCCACCAATCTCATTCGCGCATTGGTTGGGTCTTTCTCTACACAGACCCACCTGGTGGTGATAGGGGATATGTTCCACAGGCGACAAAGCTCCTTGGCCAACTTCTCATCAAGGAGACGACCGACCTTTTGAGAAGTCATTGAGTTGGTTTCAGTTTTCATTCCTTCCCACGACAGTTCACAGCTTAGGTAACGGCCATCGGCGTCGCTAGTCACATAGCCGGGGTAGATGAGTTTGACCTCTCGGTCGCAGAGGGTAACTTCTTCACTATAGTTGTCTTGCCCTTTGATCTGGTACACACTTTGCATCAATCCAATGTGGCGAGTCTCTAAACGATCAAGCTCAAAAGAGTTCAATGCTGTTACGAGTGATCCCAATTGCATGGCATCTGAATCATTTGGACTTGTTGATAAGGTCGGTACCGATAAGTCTACGAAGTCAGATGCACTGATTGGTGGAGACAAGTCACCTGGAGAAGGGCTAGTCATCTCGACATCAACAATTGAATCACCCTGTGGCTCTGTGAGATCAACATCTCCGCATCGAAAAGATCTTCATGATCAACCGGGCCTGATGGTGCACTTGATGGAGTATAATCACAATCATCCATGAGACCCGCTTCAACCTCAAGACCCCCTTCAAACTTGGGCTCCGTTTTGGGGGCGAATCTTTCATTCAACGGGACTGAAGGCTCTGG